ACATAATGCGGTTCAGTATCCTTGTTTGGTCGTTGAAGGTTTGTGGTGGTTGCAATGATCTCTCGTCAAGTTCAAATTTTGCTGATTGTATTTGCTATGGGTTTCGATTGACGAGGATTGTTTGTTTGTTTGGAGTTGTATGGTGGACTTCTATTTAGGTGGAAAGTATACTTTAGAAAGTGTGTCTTAGCCGTATCCGAGAGATTTGTGGATCATGAAGCAATCTTGCTTATCGTGTTGTGAAATATTGGTTCTTGTGTACTAGTGGGGATGATATTGTTTGGCAGGCAATAGACAGCAACAATAGATCCAGAGTGAAAAGACTTGGTGTCTTGGATTCTGAAGTGAATGGTATTGTACGGTGGGTCGTAGGCAGCCTCGATAAGATCCAGATCACTGTCTTCCACTATGTAAGGAAGGTTTTTGCATTGATTCGTCCATCGCTTGGTTTTATTTTGCAATGTTTCAGTTTTCTTTATGCTGATGCTAGTTGTAGTGTCTGGTCTTTGTATTATGGTTGTGTTGTGTCTCTAAGTCATCGGTTTGGGTTTTAGTTTCTTGTTTCTTGGGTTTCTGTTTTGGGGGAATTTCTTATATACAAGCTCTTGTATGAATCATTCCTCCTTTGAATGGAATATTATATGATGGGAAAATAAAATATATATATTCTGACTGTTAAATGTATTTTATAAAAACTAGTGGGGGAGGGTGTATTGTTTTTGAGGGTTGTGAAACACACTGTTTTGACTAAAGGCAAACGTTAAGGCGATTTTTGGGGCGACTACGAAAGCCGATTCTCCGATGGATTCGGCTACTCTGCCGAGCTCATCTGATCCGCCAAAGGTTCTGAAGGTTGTGGAGAATAAGGGGGTTACGAAGGATTTGCTGGATGTTGATTTGAAGAAAGGCGATAAAAGTTGGGTGTCGATAGCGAAGAAAAAGGGTTTTGCAGAAGTACGATGTAGAAGTTCAATTGAAGGATTGTAAGAACAAGGTTGTGATTCCGGATGATATCTTTGTTGACTCTACTCCATTGTGGGAGGAATTTGTTATCGGGAAGTTTCTGGATATTGCTCCTCATATAGCAAAGGTTCACATGGTGATAAACAAGATCTGGAGTTATGGTGATTCAAACTATAAAGTTGAGGTGTATGATGTGGATGCTAAAACGATGAGGTTTAAGATATCGAGTTTGAAAGCAAGGGAGAAGGTAATCAAAAGAGGGATGTGCAATATCGCGGGAGTTCCTATGATAGTGAAGAAGTGGTCTCCAAAGGTAGAAGAAGAGAAGCAGGATGAAGAGACTATACCGATGTGGGTTCATTTGAGTAAGATTTCATTTAGTATGTTCTCGTGGGAAGTTTTGAGCTCCATGACCAGTACTGTGGGGTATCCAATTCGTCTTCATGAGGCATTGGGATAAAACAAGTTGGGTAACCTATCAAAAAGGACAAAGGAGGCGTTCGATGTGTTATGTGAAAAGCAGAAAAAGACTTTAACTAGTCCAAGTGATGTAGCTATTCAAGAGGAGGCTGATGCATATGGGAATGGTTACATGTTACTAGTCTAGAGGAAAAGTTTCTTAAACAGAAAGCAAAGCTTCATTGGCTAGATGTGGGAGATAAGAATAACAAGACGTTCCACAGAGCAATAAAAAGGCTCAGAATATGATCAGAGAAATCAGATGCAAGAATGGCAGAGTGGTGTCTACTCATTCTGAGATTAAACAAGAAGCAGTAAGATTTTTTGATGATTTTCTTAATCGTATACCTGATTCTTAAAAGGTGCTTCTGAGGAAGAGTTACAAGAGCTACTTGAATTTCACTGTTCTTCAGAAAAGTGTGGTATGTTGGAAGCGGAAGTTACATAGGAGAAGATTTGCAAAGTTCTCTTTGCTATGCCAAACAATAAATCACCTGGACCTAATGGTTATTCGTGTGAATTCTTTAAAACAGTTTGGCCGATAATATCTTAAGACTTTATCACTGCTGTTCAATCAGTTATCAGATTTGAATTTCTACCAAAAGGTATCAACTCAACCATTCTTGCTTTAATCCCCAAGAAGCTTGATTCGTTGGATATAAAGGACTATCGTCCTATAGCTTGCTGTAACGTCATCTACAAGGTTGTCTCAAAGATTCTGGCTAATCGACTTACAAAGCTTCTGCCTCGTATTATCACTGAATCACAGTCTGCTTTTGTGCAAGGCCGGCTTCTAATAGAAAACGTCCTCCTAGCTTCAGAGCTAGTTAAGGGTTACCATAAGCATAAGATCTCTCCAAGATGTGTTAGGAAAATTGATATATCGAAAGCTTTCGATTCTGTGCAACAGGAGTTTATCTTAAGAAGTCTGAGGATTTGGGGTTTCCCTGGGAAGTTTACGCATTGGATTAGACTTTGTATTACTGGCCTTTCCTTCTCAGTTCAAGTAAACAGAGGTCTTGCTGGCTATGTTCAAAGCTCTAGAGGTCTTCGACATGGTTGCTCGCTTTCTCCCTATCTTTTTGTGATGTGCATGAATGTCTTCTCTTTGAAGATTGATAGAGCAGTGGCAGAAAAGAAGTTTGCTTTTCATCCGGGTTGTAAAAGTCTATCTCTCACACACTTTTGTTTTGCAGACCATCTAATGGTCTTTGTGGAGGGTTCAAAAAAATCTATCGAAGGTGCTCTATCAGTGTTTAAATTGTTTGAAAGCTGGTCAGAGCTAAGTATTAGTTTGGAGAAATCAACTGTATGTATGGCTGGTGTAAAAGAAGCTGAGAAAAGCAGTATACTGACGAACTTTCAATTTGCAGTTGGAGATCTCCAGTGAGATATTTGGGTCTACCTCTAATCATTAAAGCCATGAGTAAACAAGACTATCTTCCTCCACTGGAGAAAATTAGAAGTAGGATTTTCTCCTGGACATGCAGATATTTGTCTTCGCTGGTAGATTACAATTGATAAAATATGTTCTTATGAGCATAGCAAATTTTTGGACAGCAGCATTTTGGCTTCTGAGTGCTTGGGTAAAGGAGGTGAAGCAAATTATAAATTTGTGCGGCCTTCCTTTGGACATGTCCTTCTTTCAAAACTTCGAGTGCTAAAGTGGCGTGGAGAGAAGCTTGTAGTTTGAGTAGTGAAGGAGGTTTGGGTATTCAAGACTTGAAGAAGTAAATAAAGTCTATTGCCTTAAGATAATATGGAGAATGCTAGCGGGTGAGTTACTGTGGGGAAAATGGATAAAATTTAATTTGCTAAAGGGGAAACATTTTTGAGAGCTAAACTCGAAGCTGCAGAATGAGTCTTGGATGTGGCATAAAATGTTGAAAATGAGAATGAAGGCGATTCTGTTTTATAAGAAGGAGTTGGAAAATGGTAGACTTATCTCCTTTTGGCTTGATTCCTGGTCGAAGAGAGGTCCTATCTTTGATTTTTTTGGGTCCGAGAGGTATCATTGACATGGGTGTAGGTAGAAATACCACTCTGGAGGAAGCGGCTCATATCGTTTGAAGAAGGAGAAGACATCGTACTTAGTTGCTTAATGATATTGAGAGAGAGTTGAATATCATTGTAAGTAATCTTCGTTCTGAGAAAGAAGATATTAGTGTTTGGAGAGAAAAAACATGTTTTAAACTGAAATTTTCTTCGCATGAAACATGATTGTTGCTGTGGGAGAATAAATCTCCTTATTCTTGGGCGAGGAGTTTGGTTTCCCCAAAACACTTCAAAGTTGCTTTTATGACTTGGCTCGCGGTCAAGAACATGTTATCTACTTTAGACAGAGTGGCCAATTGGAGTCAAGGAGTAAATTCTAAATGTGTACTCTATAAAAATGCTGATGAAACGAGAAGTCACTTATTCTTTGAGTATGGGTATTCTTCTCAGATTTGGGAGTATATTGCTAAGAAAATGTTGGAGACTTTTTATATCAACGTTTGAGATGAAATCTTGTTAATCATTTCTGATTAAAGAAGGGAGACGATGAGTAGATTATAGATAAGATATGCTTTTTAGTCGGTTTTGAACAAGGGAATTTAGAAACTTATGCAATTTTGGTTTGTTACTAGAATGTACATAGTGGTTAAGCTTGATCTGTAAAAACAAAGGGGGGGGGGGTTTGAAATATTGTTCGAGTTTTGTTTTAGAAAGAAAGGAAGCAATACAGTAGAACCTCTATAAATTAATACTCGATAAATTAATAATCTCTATAAAATAATAAATTTCACCGGTCCCAACTTGGGCCGGTGTAAAATATGACACAAATCGATAAAATAATAAGATAATAATATTTTAGAAAATGTCATGTAAATATATAGTCCCATTAAAATCATAAATTAATAATCTATCTATATATAGTTTTATATAAGTACAATCTAACATTATATTATTGGTTTTATATTTACAATAAAAATACTAATATATTTTGATAATATTTAGTTAAATTATATCCAAAACCACATAACAATTCTATAAAATATAAGAATATACACCAAATAAGATAAGAAAAATATATAAACGTCAAATTTCTAATAGTGAAATAATGTACTTCTGCGAAAATCAAAATAGAAAAAAATCTGAATAAGGAAATTTTTGGTAAATTAATATCTCTATAAATTAAGAAAATTTCAAAGTCCCAACATTATTAATTTATAGAGGTTTTACTGTACTTGTATTATTGTATACCAGCCTTTTTTTTTTGAATCAATTTAGCATTAATTCTAAGAAAAAAAAAACTATTGACGGGAAATCAAAGAAGGGAAATGACAAAAAGGTAACAATTCACAAAACAAAAGATATCTTGGAGAATCCGAGCTGGCAAATATCATCATGTGGATATCAGTACTGCCACCTGCACATCTTCATTACAAATGTATGTACACGTGTCATCTTTCCGGAGGATTGCTCAGATCGCGAAGAACTCTCTTCTCTTATCAACAGAAGAAAAAATCTCTAATAAAATCCCTTTCTCTAATTTGTTTTCTATTTGTCTTCTTTCTTACCATCTCCCCGGTGACGCCATGAACGCCGCCGTGTTTGCATCTTCTGCTTTATCTCTTCCTATCTCCTTCTGTAAAACTAGATCATCTAAACTCACTAGAAAGAAGGTAACTAACTATACGTTTCTAATTGTCTTTGTTTGTTGGTGCCATATGAAAGTTTTGATTTATTTGAGTGATTGTGTTGTTTTCAGGGACTAAAAGGAGGATTGAGGGTTTTTGCTGTGCTTGGGGAAGAAAGTGGATTAGTTGAGGAGAAGAAGAGTCTGTGGGGACCTCTGTTTGATGTGGAGGATCCGAGATCAAAAGTTCCTCCTTATAAAGGCAAGTTCTTGGATGTGAATCAAGCTCTTGAAGTTGCTAGATTCGATATTCAATATCTTGATTGGCGTGCTCGTCAAGATCTTCTTACCATCATGCTCCTACATGAAAAGGTTTGCTTCTCACCCAAGTAAATTACCTCTTTTTAGCTTATTTTATCTAAATGGCTCGTACAAATTTGTGTTCTTGAGTGTATGCTGTTGATAAAAACAGAGATATAAACCGCTAGTTCTTTTTTCACAAAACCAGAGAGAGTCTGTGTTCGGTTTCTGTAGCACTGCTTTCAGTATTTTATTTTTTTTAGATGAATCATTTGTGGTTTTACGTTAAGTATTGGTGGTAACTTTGGAATGAATGTACATTTCAGGTCGTTGATGTCCTTAATCCTCTAGCTCGTGAGTACAAGTCGATTGGTACTGTGAAGAAAGAGTTAGCTGGATTGCAGGAAGAACTAGCGAAAGCACACCAACAGGTTCTTAAGAATCCTGATTTTTTGAATCAGCGCTCATTTTTCAAACTTCTTCTTTTAACTAACTCTATTAGGTAAATGAAACAGGTTCACATATCTGAAGCAAGGGTTTCAACTGCTTTAGAAAAGCTAGCTCACATGGAAGAACTGGTTAATGATAGGTTGTTACTAGATAAAAATGCGACAGAATCAGATAAACCCTCGTCATCAACCTCTGTCCAGGACTTAGATAGGGAAAAGACAAACGTTGGTGCGAAAAGCTTGAATGTTTCTGGTCCGGTCCAGCCTTATAGTCCACACCTTATGAATTTCTGGTATCCCGTTGCTTTCACTGCAGATCTCAAGCATGATACAATGGTATGTATAAAGGTTCTTGCTTGCTACGTCTCTTGTCTTGCCAAACTTGGAAGAAATTATATTGTTTTATGTCTTAAGGTACCAATTGACTGCTTTGAGCAACCATGGGTTATCTTTCGAGGAGAAGATGGTAGACCAGGATGTGTACGGAACACGTGTGCTCATAGAGCATGTCCTCTTGATCTTGGCACAGTGAAGGAAGGTCGTATCCAATGTCCTTACCACGGTTGGTAACTTATTCTCTACTTTTGTTAATTTCAAACCATATTCTTTATCTTATCAAGCTTGATTTTGTAGGATGGGAATACTCAACTGATGGAAAATGTACGAAGATGCCATCTACAAAGCTACTTAATGTGAAGATAAAATCGATACCTTGTCTTGAACAAGACGGTATGATCTGGGTTTGGCCTGGCGATGAACCGCCTTCACCCACACTTCCTTCTTTACAACCTCCATCTGGGTTTGTAATCCATGCTGAGGTACTCCAACCTTTCAAGAAGTAGCTCCAATCATTTCATATCAGTGTACCGTTTCCTTATTTATTTCCTGACAAAATCTCAGCTTGTAATGGACCTCCCTGTGGAACACGGATTACTTCTAGATAATCTCTTGGATCTTGCGCACGCTCCATTTACTCACACATCTACTTTTGCAAAAGGCTGGAGTGTCCCAAGGTTTGTATTTTAACTTTCATGACTCTGTTCTCTACTGAGATGACTGTGTTTCAAGATTTTTCTCTGTTTCTTGCAGCTTGGTGAAGTTCTTAACACCATCTTCAGGTCTTCAAGGATACTGGGATCCGTATCCAATCGATATGGAGTTTAAACCGCCTTGTATCGTGTTATCTACAATAGGAATCTCAAAACCAGGGAAGCTAGAAGGAAAGAGCACTAAGCAGTGTGCAACACATCTTCATCAACTCCATGTTTGTTTACCTTCTTCAAGAAACAAGACAAGACTTTTATACCGAATGTCCCTAGACTTTGCTCCGATATTGAAGAATCTTCCTTTCATGGAACATCTCTGGAGACACTTCGCTGAACAGGTAAAAGTATAGAAACAAATGGATATTTTGAATCATTTTAATGATATGATCTGATTGAAAATCGTTTATTTGTTTCCAGGTGTTAAACGAAGATCTAAGGTTGGTATTAGGACAGCAAGAACGGATGTTGAATGGTGCAAATATATGGAACTTACCTGTTGCTTATGACAAGCTTGGAGTTCGGTATAGACTATGGAGAAATGCGGTAGATCGAGGCGATGATAAATTGCCCTTCTCCGGCTAACTATAATCTAATGTTTGAGTGACGTGGAAGGAAAGTTTTAGCAGGTCTCATTCGCCAGCGACCTTAGCTTGAAGAGAAATGTTTTAGGTTTTTCTGTCTGGTTCCTTGTCGCAGCAGAGAAGCTTGGCTTGAGTAAACGAACGATTTGGGGGTTGGGTTTGGTGAATTCTTCTTTGAAGACTATGAAACAAAACTTTTGGGTAGATAAGAAAAAAAACTATTCATTGTAAATCAAAAGAAGAGATAATTTGTACATTTTGTTTTGTACAGATGATTCGCTATGAGTAATTGAAAATGATGCATATCCCATCAGAATAAAATTGAAGGTTGGAGAAACTGTTGACATAGCCGATTTGTTAACAAACCAAACTGAGTGTTTTACTTGAAGCAAACTAAGTCGGTGAAACAGTAAAAACAGTTTTACTTGAAGCAAACTAAGTCGGTGAAATAGTAAAAGAAAGGCAACAAGCTATATCCGGTGTAAGCTAATCTAGTAAAAGAAAGGCAACAAGCTATTGAAGCAAACTAAGTCGGTGAAACAGTAAAAGAAAGGCAACAAGCTATTTCCGCTGTAAGCTAATCTAGTGGTAAAGGTATGGGTTAGTGGGAGTTAGTAAGGAGTTGAAGTTAGTGTGTCGATGTTTTTGTGTAGTATAATAAGATGTCTAAGGCTGTTGTACTATGAATGTATGAGATCAATGAAGAAGAAAAACTTATGTCATTGACTAAAACAAACACCTCTCAATCACTGATATATGAATAAATTTTTTGATCAAAAACAGAGTTATTCACAGCACTAAATGCAACATGGTGTCAGAGAATCAGTTGATTTTAGAAGGTTCGCTGAACAAAGTTACTGCACAATGAAGGAGGTCAAGGTCAGAGACACCAACGCACTGTGATAGGTTTTAGCTATCGTAAACTCTATAAAACTCTATAAAAATACTTTATATCAATGAGAAAAGTGATTACAGCTCTGTGTGTGAGACCTACAATATTCTCATAGCGAGAATTGCAAATTCACCAGTCTCATAGCGACTGTGGAGTTACGGCTCATGTTGCCAATAACAAACAACAACAAAGAATGAAAATATAAATACAACTTGCTTCCTTATTTAAACTATCTCGATATAACGGAACACCTTCCTTCTCATCCAGAGTCTTTCATCCTTTTTACTTCTTTTCAAATAATCCCGAACCCTCGGCTTCATCCAGAGACTCTCCCGCATTCCTTTCTTCAAACGTTTCAACATCTTTATCCTTTCCACTCTTCTTCCTCTTTGATAATAAACTTGCTGGTACTTATCAATACCCCCCCCCCCATCAAAAGAACAAAACTTACCTTCACCCCCTAAGGTGAATTAGAGAATTCACCCCACTTCTCTACACCAATTAAACTTCCACATAGGATTAATTAGAAAAGATATTAAAATTAAAAAAAAAAGGAAAGTAGCTGAAAAAGAAAAAGAAGCTTACCTTCTAACGCCGTCGGCTTCTTCTTCTCCATTACCCTTCATCCACATAGAAGACAATTACTAATTTAAAATCTTCATTAAGGTATGTGGCAGTAATATAACGACTATATGTTCTCACTTCTTTTTATTTTCTAAAAGTTTGGGATGATGCAATATCATCTTTCGCTGAAACCATAAGGCATGGAACCTCATACAAGCACCTCAGTCCCTCGCTTCCATGACGTTTCATCAGAACTGCATCAAAGAAAAAAAAACATCAGGGAATGCATACAGCAACTCAAAGCCTCTTCAATGTACATAAAAATTACAAGTAGAGAATGATAAGACATCTAATTAAAAGCATATTTCAAACAATCAAAGAACTAAAATATATATACTCTGTGTTTGTTCTCACACTCACGTTTTTCTTCACTCGTCTGTTTCGTGCGGCTTAAGGCTCGTCTTCTTTTTTTTTTTTTTTTTATAACTTGTTCTCTGGTACTCTCCTTCGTAGTTTGTTCTATGCTACTCTTCTTTGTTCTCTTCTTGGGCACTTCTTCTTAGTTCCAATTTTTTTGAAGATTTAATCAAAGATCCAATTCGTTTGTAGATTTAATCAAAGGTTCAATCCAGAAAAACAAATTATGTTTCTCTTCTTATCCATCTTCTTCTTCCTCTTGTTTGATACTTTCTTTTAGTTCAAGCCCTGATGATGTTCAAATAGTAGGAAGAAGAAGAAAATCCATAGGTGAACATGGTTTGATTTGGCTTGGAGAATGTTAAATTGAAATAAGATTTGAAAGCATAGATTGGAGACTTGAACTTGGCAAACCCTTGTATTGTTTCATGTGTAAGTGATTAACAAGAACAGCCGATGGATGAAGAAATATCTGACGGCGGCTTCACGTTAATTCCTTTTTTCTAAAGCTATATTCATTTTTTTTTAGTTTTAATACTTTTTCTAATTAATCCTATGTGGAACATTAATTTGTGTAGAGAAGTGGGGTGAATTCTCTAACTCACCTTAGGAGGTGAAGGCAAATTTTGTTCCCATCAAAACCAAGCTTGCCCTCAAGCTGGTAAGATGGAAACTCCTTAAGTGACATCCAAGAATCATCTGACGATGACTTATCCTTCCACCCCACCAACAACTCCAACAGCCCTTATCAGTGTATCGCTTTGCCAAAACATCCTCCGGTTGCAAAGGCGATAATACATCTGTAAAGAAAACCTGTAGCAACTCACTCACCACTTCATGATTACCAAGAGCACGCTTCAACTGAGAGACCTGAAAAACATCATGGACGCGTGACTCTGCAGGCAACTGAAAGCAATAATCCACCTTCCCAATACGCTCCAGCACCTTATAAGGACCAAATAATTTTGCTGCAAGCTTCTGATAAAACCGCTTTACTACAGACTTCTGACGATATGGTATGAGCTTTAGATACACCATATTATTCACTGAAAAATCCACATCCCTCCGATGCTTATCAGCCAGTTGTTTCATCAGACTCTGAGCTCTCTCCAAATGCTTCTTCAACTGATCCAACATCGCATCTCTCATCCTTAATGATTCTTCCAACTCAAAATTATTCGTGGACCCCTCCTCATATGGCACAAGACTCGGTGATTCCCTCCCGTACCCCACAATAAAAGGAGATGTCTTCAAGGACGTGTGATAAGATGTGTTAAACCAATACTCTGCCCAACAAAGAAACTGAGACCAAGTGCGTGGGTGTGATGAAGAGAAGCAACGGAGATAGGTTTCCAAACAACGTTCACCACCTCCGTTTGCCCATCAGTTTGAGGATGGAACGAGGTGCTATACTTCAATTCGTCCCTGCCAAATTAAAGATCTCTTTCCAAAAGGAACTCAAGAACAACTTATCCCAATCTGACACCACGCTCCTAGGAAAGCCGTGTAAGCAAACAATCTCATGAACAAATTTCAAAGCCACATCCATAGCAGTGAAAGGATGCTTCAAGCTCAAGAAATGACAATACTTGTTAAGCCTATCCAGCACCACCAAAATGACATTAACCCCTCCAGACAAAGGTAACCCTTTGATTTGGAACCGGAAGAGTCTGTACCAATCCAGCAGGAGAGAGAGTGGAATACTTATGAGTCTGACAGACTTGACACGCTGCAACATAGTCTTGAACTCGCTTATGCAATCCCTCCGACACAAGTGACTTTTGAATCCTCTGCATCATTTTCAGTACACCAGAGTGACCGGCCATTTTACTGTCATGACATTCCGACAAAATCAAAGGTATTCAGAATTTTCAATCGCTTCTTTGACCACAACCTTCCATCAATAATTTGATACTTCATCGCATTCAGCTCCCCCTTCTCGCACAAGTTTTTCAGGTGCTGAATGTGATCATCCCCATCAATCTCCTTATACAAGTCCTACCATTGCAACACCGTGGGAACCGTGAGAGTTAACGTAAGGAAGCAACATACATACTCCGAGGGAACCCATCCACAGCCTTATTCTCACATCCCGGCTTGTATAAGATATCAAAATCAAAACCCAACAATCTTGTCAACCACCTTTGATACTCCATATTTACCTCATATTGCTCCAACAAGTACTTAATGCTCCAGTGATCAGTATGAACGGTGAAGTGTTTCCCAAGTAAATAATGTTTCCACTTCCTCACTGCCATCACCACAGCCATCAATTTCCGTTCAAATGCTGGTTTCAGCTGCTCTGTCGCCGTGAGAGCGTGGCTAAAGTAAGCAACTGGTTTGTTACCCTGCATCAACATCGTGCCTAACCCCACACTAGAAGCATCGGACTCAAAGACAAACTTCTGAGAAAAATCTGGCAAAGTCAAGACAGGGGCATTCACCATCGCTTCCTTCAATCTATCAAATGACTGTTGAGCCTCAACTCCCCAAGCAAATTGGCCAGTCTTCAACAACGACGTCAACGGTCTTGCCAAAATACCATAATTCTTGATAAAACATCGATAGTAACCCGTCAATCCAAGGAAACCTCACAACTGCTTCACCGTCTTAGAAGTAGGCCACTTCACCATTGCTTCCGTCTTTGTAACATCAGTAGCTACTCCTTCCTTTGAAATTATATGACCAAGATACTCCACCTGGGACATCCCAAAAGAATGCTTCTTCTTATTAGCAAACAAAGTATGCTCTTTCAATACTTGCAAAACACAGCGCAAATGTCCTTCATGCTCCTCTCTGGTTTTTCTATAAACCAAGATATCATCGAAAATTACCAATACAAATTCTCTCAAGTATGGTTTGAATATCTTGTTCATCAACGCCTGGAAAGTAGTAGATGCATTTGTTAAGCCAAAAGGCATAACAAGAAACTCATAATGGTCTTCTACTGTCCAAAAAGCTGTTTTCTTCACATCCTCCTCCACCATCCGTATATGATGATATCAAGACCTCAAATCCAGCTTAGAAAACAATGCAGCTCCATGTAATTCATCCAACAGTTGATCAATGACTGGAATATGATATTTGTCTGGAATTGTTGCCTTGTTTAAAGCCCTGTAGTCCACACA